CAGCTACAAAAACCGCATCTCGCACCGGCATAATATGGTAGTCTCTCAAAATCGAAAGAGCTCCTGGGCAATGAAACAAACAATGATTCCACAACAAAACCAAAATCTTACCATGTCTCATTCAACAACTCCCCAAACTCCCAAATAAAAGTCCCGCATGAAAGCCCGGCGTTCCAACAGCGTCTGGGGCGTCCTGCACATGGCCTCTGCTCTCCAACAAATCCGTTCCCCCTATTTCATCTTAATGACCTCCTTCGCCATCCTCCAAATGCTACGCATAAACTACTTCATCGCCAGCATAGGCCTGCAATACGAATCCCTCCTCTCATCCCCGCAACTCGCGAACCATTTAAACCACCTCTTCGACCTTTTCTTACCGCTGGCAGGCATCGTGGCAATACCATTTACCGGCCTAATCCTCGATAGAGCAAGTACCGTCACTGCAGTAGCCACGCTCGTCTGCTTCTCCACGCTCGTCGGCATCCTGGGCTGTATTCCCCACAGCCTGCTGGCAGCATACGCAAACGTTACGCTCTTTACGCTCTACAGACCCTTCTGCTACGCCTCCATATCTGACTATGCAGCAAAGGTCTTCGGTTTCCAGACCTTTGGTAAAGTCTACGGGCTCATGATATGCCTTGCCGGATTGGGTAATTTCCTACAGTTACCGCTAGATATACTGACGATGAAGCTGTTCCGGCGTGACCCAATTCCGGTGAATATCCTACTGACGATTGTGGTGTTCGTAGCGGGAGGGATTTTGGTTTTGTTTGTGTGGTGGCGGGGTAGGGAGCGGATGGGGATTGTTGATGTTGTTGTTGAGAATGGTGAGCTGGGAGGGGTTCACAGTGTTCGTCATGCTCCGTCGCGGAAACGTAGATCGAGGAGGGAAATTGGGCGTTCAGTTGATCTTGGCGAGGACGATAGTGATGGCGGGCCTAGTGAAAGAGATAGGCTGCTCACCGCTTCCCATAGGGAGGACGGGAATGGCTCTGCTTGTGTGTATTTGGTATAAGGGATCATTGTTTTATTTAATTTTGCATCTCAATTGAGTTCTTGGTCTCAAATTCCTCTTATTTTCTTTACCCTAGTAAAAGCTCTTTTATGTACCTTATATGTACAATATTCCTTTTACCTTTTGCCTTTCAAGGTTAGAACACTACGAAAAGCTCGCGGGGAAATGAGTAATGACGCGCTTTTGTCATGGCGTTCTTCATTGGTCCCACAGCGTATTTTAATATCTTATCCAGCTCTTTCGCTGAAACTGGAAAAAAAAAAAAAAAAAAAAAAAACAGCGCTCGCACTGGATATAACAGCTAGGTTGCTAACAGTAACTCATACACCACTAAGATTACTTGTATCAAGGATAACGTCACTCAAACACAATCACAACCTCAGAAAACACACGGCTAATGTATATACGTATGGGCTGAGAAACTATCAATCATCACTCGGAGACAATGAGAAGACCAACAACTACATCTCCGCTTTCACCTCAACCCACTCAATCAATCTCCAACATCCGATACTTCCCCCCTTCCCCGTCAGGACCCCTATACCCTTCCAACGCCCTCTCCACCACCTCCATGAACCCCAAAACCCTCTCCTCCTCCCACCTCCTACCCACAATCTGCACCGCAGTCGGCAACCCATGCATCTTCTCCGAATCATAATACTTCCACGCCCCCATCGCAACCGCATTATCCGCCCCAGATTCCCTCAGCACCCTCTTATATGCATTCTTCTTCTCTCGCGCACTCTTCGTCGGCGAACGATCAATCGCATCCACAATCGCATCCACACGACCCACCGGCAGCACGCCGCAAGAGTAATCAAGCAAGTTCCACAGAAACGTGTAGCCGCAGCTGGACACGGCATCTTTCATCGCGCCGTGCGGCAGCGCCGGCGTCGCGTTGACAGGACACAGGATGAAGTCGTACCCTTGTTCCGGCGAGCTCCACCAGCTATGCCAGGTTGCGCGGAAGGCTTCGCGCTGCGAAACTAGCTTCCATTGCTCGGTGCTGGATTTGGGGCCGAAGTCTTTGAGCAGGTATGCCCAGGTGCTGTCGCGCTTGATGTAGCGAACATAGAGATAGTAGAGGTACCGGAGGGGTCGGGGGAGCTTGGCGTATTTGGTCAGTTGGGCTGCGCCGGGGTCGCTGGATTCACCAGCTAAGAAGTGGGAGTTGAAGGTGGCGCAGCCATCGGAGTTGAGGAGGAGGGAGGCGAGGCGGAGGCCGATGAGAGGGCTGGCGGTTGGAGGTGGGGTGATGTTGATGAGGGTGTGGCCGGCAGCGGAGAGGGCGGAGGCTGTGGTGCCAAGGGCGTGGTCAATTGCCGGTGTGGGTGGGACAAACTCCTATTTGGGAGGATTGTGGGTTGGTTAGAATTGGAAATTAAAAGCCTGGATTTATTTTTTGACATTTTCGTTGAGACGTACCGTCAGTCTTCATAACTCCAATCCTCAATTTCTTTGATTTCACTTCCTCCTCCTGCTCCGATCTCCATGAAATCGGATGAACCGAGTGATCGTACTTCCAGGGTTGCATGCCTATAATTGCGCGGGTGAAATACGTCAAATCATTCAAGGTTCGTGCCATTGGACTGAAAACACTTGGCACGCCTTCTTGTCCTGCCATGCTTGTGTTCATGCCAGCTTTTGGCCATCTTCCAGTGCTGCAACGAAGGGAGTATACACCGCTCCAAGCTGCAGGAACACGAACAGATCCAGCAACATCGGAGCCAATGCCAATCCGCCCACCAGATGCAAGAAGGGCCGCTTCACCTCCTGTGGAGCCGCCAGGGGAATACTGCGGGACATGTGGGTTCAGACACGGGCCCCAGAGGGGATTGCTAGATTCAAAGGACAATAATGTAACAGGCAAATTGGTCTTTGCATATGGAATTGCGCCTGAAAATAATATTAGCAGAGAAGAGAAGGTAAATGAAGGGAGAATAGACCCTCAAAAAGAGTAATTATCAAAGGAGAACAGCAAGATACGTTACATACCAGCATCCTTCAACAACCTCACAACTCCGCCATCTTCCTTATATGGCTTCTTCGCAAGACTCGCATATCCCAAACTGATGTCAAAGCCTTTAACCTGCAACGTATCCTTCAACGAGACAGGGATGCCCGCCAGAGGCCCCTTGGTATTTATTTCCGATTTAGCCCATTCCTCCGCCTCAGGAAGCAGCAGCTCCGTTATGCAGTTTGTCTTCTCATGAGCCTTCACTGCTACCTTGCCGTAAGTGTGCAAGAGTTGCAGAGGCGAGATGACGCCCTTTTGCACATCCTGGACCAGCTCCTCAATTGGCCTGTCGATGACGGACTTGTCAAAAGCGGAGAAGGCGGAGTGGTAGACTGACGGGAGACTGGCTATGCGCTGTGCGCGCTGCTCTCTCTTGAAGTTTCTGATGCGGTTGAAGAGACTGGGTTAGCTCCAATGCACGATATATGGCTGGCTACGTGCGGGGATTAAGCTATATAGCTATGCATGGAGAAGAGTGGTATATTTTACCTTATTCGACGCTGCTGAAAGTATTCGAACGGAGCCAGCATGGCTGCTGTGTGTACGGGGATTGTCCTAATTAGTTATACACACACACACAAAAAAAAAAAAAAAAAAGAGAGAGAGAGAAAAGAAAGAAATTTCAATTAAAAGGACGTGGGTGTTGAAAAGTAGATATAAAAGCAGATTGAGTTCCAGCGGTTGCAGTTATGATGGGGGAGGTTGCAAGTAAGTCGCGGAGCTCGGGAACCTTTTGCGGGGGAGTGCTGGGCTTATTTGTAAGTTCCCCACTCTGGCGTCTCAAGATGAAGCCTGGTTATCCGCTTGGTTGGAGAACTTGGTTTGAGAGCGATGCCGAATATGGAGTTACTATCTAGTTAGCACAGGGCTAATTTGATGGTAAAGGATGTACATCTACCCTGGGTGGGGGTATATCTCGAATCCATGGATAGCTAGCTGTGTTCATTCATTACATCACGCTTCCAGAGCGCATTCTTAGGAGCACTCCGTACATCGGTACCTCCCGGTATATGCTCTTAATTGGTCGTCGCATTGTCTGTGAGTGATCTTGGTTGTTCCTTGATCTCGGCATTGATCAGCGTCGAAGCCAATCGGCGGGCGAGCCGCGTCTTACGCCAAACCATCCGAACATGGGTGGTTCTGTACCTTGTCTGCCCCTTTTTGACATATCTCGACACTCTTGTAGGGTCCAGGGGTTCCACGACAATGATATCGGAGCTGTATGCTCGACTTTATGTATCTGGAATATGCTTAGAATCAATTGCTAGAGTTCTGGAATCTTATTAATACGATGGAAATGGATTAAGGTGGAAGAATTCGGATTGCCGAAATGGCGGTGTTGTTGCCTGTAGGTATGCAGCGTACGAAATATTTATCTCTGACCTATAAGAAGATGTATAAGGAAATGCTTTGTTCAGGGGAAATGTGAAATTCCAGGCTCCAAATTATCCCTAGTTTAGCTCCTATCCAGAACACAGTAGAATCTGCTTTTGCAAGATGAGGAGATGCGTGCTAGTAAATACACAACCAGCCATCCTATGTGCAACTTACGAGCAATTTATGTGCAGTCTATGTGCAGTCTATGTACAGTCTATGGGCAGAAAAGCATCACTGCTGAAACTGATATACCTCAAACAACCTCTCGTCCACAGCATGTTTGTTGTCGCTTAGTCGTTCTGATCCTATGACTTACCTCTTACCATGCTCAAAGCATCTGAGCAACACTACCTCTGGGTCTTTCAAAACACAATCACAATCACCAGCTCATCCATGACAACAAACAAAACGTGTTTTGAAGCTTGTTTGGCCAGTGACAAGGTCAACCTGCATCCTGCCATCCATATCCAAACATGGATGATAACATGGCGTACCCCCCTACCACCTACGACACACCGGGTGGTAGAATCGACTTGACTTCTGGGTACGAGCAGTACCGCGCCGTCTTTCCCCCGCAGGTCGACGCGGTCCAGGTGCTAGGCAACTTGAGCGATCCAGCAAAGGGTCACCATGCGCGTAACGGTGGATTTTCCGCCATCCTTGCAGATCACCCTTATTTCATGTTCGGCCCCATAGAGAGCGAGGGATATGACAAAACTCCATTTGGAATCATCTCCAACGCGGCAGCCAGAGCTCTCGAGCCAAGGGAAGACCCGCTTCTCACCACATACTATGCCATTGAGCCAAACGGCTACACTCCCCCTTTACTCGGGCTGACCGAAAACGAGGTGAAATTTGAACATGAGACGGGTTTGGAGGTGATCATTTCGACTGACGGAGGACTTGCTGAGGGGAGACCGGGAAGCGGCAATGGCTGTGTCTGGTTTCAGAAAACGATCAGAGAGAAGAGAGATGGGCTGCCACCACGTAACTTCTATCATGGGACCGGGGTTGCACCGGTGAAGGTGGATATTACTGGCAAGCTGCTCGGTAGACGTGTCCTTGGCGATACAGTGATCTTTAAGGAGCACGAGCCGGCATTTGGCACCTTTTGCGCGATAAACCATCAGGGTTGGTACTACCTATGGGGCAGACATATCAATGATATCTACCTCGCTAGAGTCCATGTGGAACATGCGTTCGAACGCGAATATTACCAGTTCTGGAATGGGTACTCATTCACTGGAGATATCGGAATGGTAACTCCCGTTCTGAGTGGATTTACACATGGGGTCATTTACCCAACCAGGCTCTTCGGGCACACTTTTGGGTGGGCATTTATCGGCAATACCGCCTGGGATGATTACACTGCGATGATGGGTGCCGCAAAGGATCCACAGGGCCCCTTCCAAGTAGTCCCAGTCGCTTTTGGTGAGAAATTGCAGGAGAACGCATTTAACGAATGTATTTATGCGCACCCTTGGGCTTTTAAAGAGTCTCTTGGTGAAATCCTCATAACCTGGAGCGAAAAATGGCCTGGTGGAATCATCGCAGCAAAATTCCAGATGCAAATGCGTGAGTTTAATATACCCCCTTGGTGTTTGTTTGGAGACCATGGGGATATTAATTTTCATCCACAAGTTCATCAGGGCGCGTACTGGACAGATATATCGCTGGAGGAACTTCAAAGTAAGGCCTCCAACCCCACCCAATCCCCATTTCTTTCTTTCCAAGAGGTTAAGAAAGAAAAGAATAAAAATGGAAAAAGAAAAAACCACGCTGCTGACCACACAATAATTTTCAGCCAGTATCTCGACCCTCGCAAAAACTCACGGGGTTCTTGAGGAAATTGCCGACGACCACGGCGTGCTTTGTAGGACACCCAGCCATTGCAAACTGAACCAATAACCATTCCGCAGACATCTAACCACAAAATTCTATCTCCAGATGAGCTAGAGTCCAAAAGCTTTGGCAAGGCTGGGATTAAGCTGTTGGGGTCATCAGCCGAAGCTGTTGATGCTGCTGCCATCGCAATCTGCCAGAGGTTGGAAGTCTGGGTCCGTCAGGCCATGGGTATCACGGAAGAAGAGAAAGAGAAAGAAAAGCGAACGTTCAAGAACGGTTTTGGGCTCTTTTCGAGGAGCAAAAACAGGGATCGAAAGTGAGAGGTCCCGTAGTAGTGTACTCGGAATGAAGGCTCTGGGGATCTCGCAGGAGGTTTCTACAAAAGTGTAATGCTCAACTCATCCTTCAGGGGGGTTGATTTTGAGGACGTGGCCAGTGAGATGGGTTCGATGGGAGGGCATGGAAAACTTGACTTCAAGAAGAGCGGAAATGGAGATGAATGCCAAAGTTTTCCAGCACGGATGATTGGGGTACATGGCTCAAGAGCAATATATTAATAATACATGGCGGTCAATCAAGCAGTTTGTTATAAAAAAAGGGTATCTTTCTTCTTTATTTTCAAAAATAAATAAATAATTAATAGTGGCTTATTCTCTTGTCATTCATGATATTATCATTCACCTGAGAGCGATGTTCGATGTTGATAAAAGATTCTCGAAGCTACTTTAGCCAACTATGGTTAGTTAACTAGGGTCTGTCTGCACAGAAATTAGTAATCTCGATGGCAAACCTTTGGAACAAAGAGGCTCGAAATTTGAACAATTGACAATTCAACATCTCCACAAATTCCTGTATAGAATAAACCGCACATTCAGTCTATACGTTCACATTACAATCAGCAACTATGGCGAACTATCTCGCTTCCATTTTTGGAACCGAGCAAGACAAGGTGAGTTAGCCCTGTATCTCTGCTACTCAACCCGTCCATCAGATAAACCTGGATTGCCTGAGCTAACATAACATCCAAAACAAAAAGGTCAACTGCTCTTTCTACTACAAAATCGGCGCGTGCCGTCATGGTGATCGATGTTCGCGAAAGCATGTAAAGCCGTCATATTCACAAACGATCCTTCTGCCAAACCTTTACCAGAACCCTGCATACGATACCAAGAACAAGATGAATGCAAGCCAGCTGCAGAACCACTTCGATGCCTTCTACGAGGATTTCTGGTGTGAAATGTGCAAGTATGGCGAGCTTGAGGAGGTGGTGGTATGCGATAACAACAATGACCGTAAGTCCCCCATCCTTTCCTTCCCCCCCCCCCAACCCTCTGGGCCCCTCGGGCTCCAACCCCGTCTTTAGTTATTCAAATCTCCACATCATCAAAACCAGAAGATCAGAGACCGTACTAACCGTAAACCCCTCCTCCTCAACTTGCCAAACACAGACTTAATTGGAAACGTGTACGCGCGCTTCAAATACGAAGACTCGGCACAGCAAGCCTGCGACGCGCTGAATTCCCGCTGGTACGCTGCACGGCCGATATACTGCGAACTCTCCCCCGTCACCGATTTCCGAGAAGCCTGTTGTCGACTGAATAGTGGCGAAGGCTGTGTCAGGGGCGGGTTTTGCAATTTCATACATCGCAAAGAACCGAGTCCAGAGTTGGAGAAGGAGCTTGAGCTGTCGACGAAGAAGTGGCTGAAGATGAGGGGACGGGATGAGAGGAGTGTCACTCGCAGTCCTAGCCCGGAGCCGACGAGGAAGAGACATTGATTAAATTGCTTGGTTGGCCGGTTGGTGGTTAGGTTGGTGGTGGTCGAAGTTTCTGCTGGTTCGGCACTGGGGTTATCTGGGTTCCTCTGTAATGCGGTTTCGGATGGAGAGAAGAAATTTGTGCAGCAAAATCGACGGTGATCGATTTGCGATTTGCTTCAAGAGTTTCACAGATCAAGGGAATGAGAGACTTGGGGTCTATTTATTTATTTATATTTTTGAAGTAAGGAGTTCCGGCTGTGGGTGCAATGCCATCATGGCTTATTTTGAAATTATCCATTTCTTTCTTTTGCTTCTTTTCTCCTTTGCTGTGAAATCGTCTTTCTTCCTTTCTAACTTTATCAATGGTATTAGGGGCGACAAAATACACATACATTTAAATACAGATGATCCCGACAATCACCCGTGATAAAAGCACTGTTTACAAATGATACCGGTCACGATTTTTTTGGTGTCGCCACTCCACATCAACTCATAGATTGGTTGAGTGGACTTGCGACAGCTCATCCTATAGGGCCATAGCTACACATGTGTAAAATCTATGAAGTCATTATCCGCTTGGTCAGCTTTCCCCTTGCTTCCTCTGGCTTCCTCCGCAGTTTTAGGTGGAATCCGCCAGGCACAAATCTCGCCGATCTCGGGATAGTCTACACCCCAGGTTTGGGTGGCATTTACGTAGAGGCTGCCTGGGCAGGTAAGGTAAGGCATCCACGGTGCATGGGCAAGGGATACGGGAGCTAATCTGAAGGTAGTTGGCGCTTGTCGGAATCAATGCTGGTTTGTTCAGCTGCTTTTAGCATGGGCACCGCCCGTTTGTCATCATCATTCATTCACCCTTTAAGGGAACGTGCAAAATCCAAGATAGAAATCTTTGCATCTGATTTGGCAGCGTGACAGCAGTACCAGGACAAACACGGCAGACACTGAATAAATACTTGACATACGAACACTCCTCATACTAGCTGAACATGTTGGGCAGCCTATCGCTCTGGGCATGGAATGGGACAGCTCCATAGACGACGTATCTGGTGTTGGGCCGTGATAATGTGCATTATTGCATTATTAGGCAGCGTAAGAAATAACCTACTGTATTTAACTGCATGACGAGAAACCAGGTCCTGCATACTCCGTACCTAATAGTTAGCGATTAGTTGCTGGGCTGCCAAGGACTGGTAGTATATCTCCACGTTACTCCAGCGATGTATAGACTATTGTCGGCGACTACATCCACTCCCGACTCCTCTACTGGTGGACACAAACAACGACAGCAGCGACAACAACGATGTCAACAACAACGTCACTTCTGCGGCGCTGCGACCAAAAGTGATATAGATGCAGCTTTCGCCCTCTTGAACAGACACCATCCAAAGACCAATACTGTCGCAGCACGATGCGCTTCATTCTACGCCCGTTTACCTCGCAATAACCTTTCCTCCTAAGCAGATGCCTGCGATCCGGGGCTAACGATTGATTCCATACTTTTGGCACACGATCCAGTCACCAAAAATATAACGCCTAGAGCTTGAGCCCGCGCTGGCGCCTATCTGCCTAAGTAACTGAGAGTTTATTCCTGTTCGAAGGGCTAATTGGAATGGTGATATATGAGCTGGCTCATTCCCTTCTTTTTTGTGAGAAACTCTAAAAACCAGGAACTCATCGCCTAGAAGAAAACGATACGACATGTCTTCCCCGCACAATCCACCCAGAAATTACTGGGGGTTCATGATTAGAGCAGACAAAAGTGCCACTCCTCTATTTGAACAGCTCTGTCTGGGGATTGCGAAATTCATAGTAAGCCATCCATTCTTCTCTCCAAGATGAAACCGTGCTAAGCCATTCGCGACCGCAGACAGATAAATGTCAGTCAAATACGGAAGATTTGACGCCAGAGAATCTGGCCTACTTTTACCGCGAAGTCGGAGGCAATTACGATAATGTCTTTCTACATACCCCTCACAGCTCTCTATCATTTATATACCAATCGTTAGGGTGTTTTCATACACTCCAGCCAACGGAAGACCCATTCAAATCACCGTGCATCCCTGCCCTGCGTCCCCATGGCTTTATCCGCTGGCAGACGATCCAGCTACTTCTATGCCCAGACGAGCATGTCAGATTCCTTCAGAAAGCAGTCAAGAAATTTGATATCATCAACCCTTCTGGCGGATGTATATTTCCAAAGGTTATTCCGAGGGATTCCTTCCCAGCGGAACCCGACCCGGAAATGGTCAAGTGGCATGAAACCGTCAGCCAGAAATTGGAAGACGATTACAGAGCTAGGAAGCAAAAGAGCTCTTCACATCGCCCGGGCTTATCTGATCGGGTTTCGTCCGATTCTAGAGCAGGTTCCAAGTCTCTCGATGGTTCTGTTCCGGATGAAAATCCCGGCTACTTCGCTTCCCGCAAGCAAATCACCAGTAAACGGCCAGGCGATTACTCAAGGACAACGTCGCAGGAACCTAGTTCTCCTTACAATGCGCGCCCTCATAAACGCGTTGTACCAGAATTCACATCTCCGCTGTCCACAGAGCCAGAATTGAGGCATGACGACATCGAAGAAGAAGAAGATCTCATTCCCATATATGGTCCCAAGATTCCACACAGTAAGCCAACTTCACGCCATCGGCACTCTCGCCATGAGATTCTCCCTTCAGTACCTCCACGACGACGACTCTCACGGGCTCCATCGAAGTCATCGTTGTTGTCCGAGGAATCCGAGGAACCCGTCCGTCGATCTAGAGCACGAAAAGCCCCCGGACAAGGCGTGGACTATGAGAAAATTTTCCCATCCCGCTCCTCTCACGCCCGACGGCACTCCCACGACGCCGCATACACCACAAGGAAAGGATGGAACTACTCCCCCCCACCCCGCCGTCTCCAACGTGAAGAACCCCTCTCACCAGAACCAACCCAAACACATGACTTCTACCCCTACGTCCACAAGGCCGCCGACTTCCGTACCTACCACGACGACGCCCGCCGCATGTCCCTCCAACAAACAAACGTAACCTCAACCCGCAAACTAAAATTCCCACTCCCCACCGCACCGCACCCCGGCATCAAATTCCGCGAATACATCTTCAACGACGATACATACGCCGCCAACTCCGCACCCACTTCCCCTGTCCACCACCACGGCCCCCATCTCTACCGCACCACCACCACCACCAACTCCTCTCGCGGCCCGACACACAGCATAAGCAACAACTACCGCCAGTACGCATCCAGAATCGACCCAGAATCTCTTGTCCCTGTTGGTTCGCATTCGAGCAGACGGAAGGCCAGCGCTAGCGCGAACGATGAGAGTCCTAGTGACAATAGCATGGAACGAGCTCGCGCGATGAGCATGGGCGCGAAACAGCTGTCGCATCTGCGCATCGATCAGACTATGGGACCGATGATGCCGATGATGCCGATGATGTATGTGACGCCGCCACCACCGCCTGTGAATGGGGTTGGGGCGCCTGTTGATTTTGAGCAGATGGGGGATGGGAGAGGGAGGCATGGGAGGAGGGGTTATTAGGGTGGATGGGGGGTTTTTTTTCCTTTATTTTCTTTACTCTTCTGTGTTTCTCTTTCTTATACCTTCTTTGGCTTGTGAGAATGTTGTTCCGGGTTTGTTACCGTTTATTTCGTTTCTGCTTTACATTGGTAAATACGAATCCCAGCTCCAACAGATCCAGCATTAGATCTTGGTGTCACCATTTCTGGCGTTAATAATAATAATATTATTATTATTTCTCTTTTGAGCAGGCGACAAGTAGAGCAGATGTATGGTTTTGATTCTTCTCCCCTCTCTGTTTTTCCACTCCACTTCCCTTCCTCACATATGTCTATGACGAATTTATGATAGTATTGACTTATCATGCAACTCTAGCCGTGATTTCCTCCATGTCTTTACAGTTCGCCCCCTTTCGAGCTTTAACAAAATCTGTAAGAGAGTGGAATAATCTTCTAACCTCAGCAATGAAATCCATCAAGAAGCTAGCCTGAATCAAGGTCATTAAAAAAAAAAACCACCAAAAAGAAAAGAGGATAAAAAGGAAATACGATGCATTGTAACATTTAAAACCATGCTTCCATGAAACGACATTTATCACATATGCATCCTATGTACTGAAATTTCCCCATTTATTCCAGGCAAAATAACCACAATCAAAAAGAAAATGAAAAAGAAAAAGAAAATCGCTAAAAGAAACAGTATCAGACAATTAAAAAATAAACCAGAGCAATCATCCCCCCTTCTCTCAGAAAACCAACAACCCCACCCATACCCCAAACCACGCCCCGACTACGCCCTTTCCCATCACCGTCATCAGCAGACCTCTAACAGAACTCCCAACACCGATCATCTGCCCCCGACTTCCCTTCGCCACCTCCCTAACCCTCACACAAGAGAGCCTCGTCTCCACCAACTCTCTCTTAACAATGGCAGGCCCTGCCAGAACCGTCGGGTCAACAGAATATCCCAGCAAAAAGATGGGTTGGGTGCGGACGAGAGCGGTGTCGTAGGCTGATGTATCGGCAGAAGGATGTGAGGAGGTGGAGGAGTGGTACTGGGCGGCTACGGTGGTGTTGCGAGCTGCGAGGGTGGAGTTTTCGCGGTGGTAGCTGTTTATTATTTCTGTGGGTGGGGGTGTGGGTGTTTTATAAAACTAAACGATGTGTTTCTTCCTCTTCTTCTTCTTCTTCTTCTTCTCTGTGGATGGGGGCGGGAAAATAGTGATGATATATGTAGACAAGAACTCACCCTGCCACGACGTACCCCCCATCCCGGCACACGGTGAAAAATCCTCATCAAACTCCTTCATTTCCTCAACCCTCCTCACAAATTCCGCTTTCATCCCCTCAATCTTCCGTCTGGTAAAAATATTCTCACACCGCCCGGGATCATTCTGATTCACGGTAATCATCTCTAATAACAATACGCAGACATTCCGCTGATGTTTCTTGTTATAGATATCCTCGTCTATAGGTATATCAAGCGTGAAGATCTGATTGGTGGCGGAGAGGTTGGCGCCACTGTTTCCCAGCTGGACTTCCATGATGCTGGTTGACCAAGTCCAGTTCTTGGGTGCCGGTAGTAATAGGGAAGCAGTGTTGGTGTTATTGGTAATTTTGGCGATGACGGCGCTGTCGTCAAGGTGCAGGCCTACGATGGGAAATGTGCCAGTGGCATTGGGATGGGAGGTTGCTCTGGGGAATTCGGGACCCGGTGGACAGCAGCCTGTACCTATGGGGCTGAAGGCGGCTTGACCGTTTGTGCGTGCGGTGGTAGGGTGGATGAGGCATGAGGTAGAAATAAAGGAGAGGAGTGTTTGGGAAAGCAGCTTCATCCTTGGTTTATTAGAATCAATAAAGTTCAAGATAAGGAGTGAAAGATTGATAGCAACTGAGCTATCAACTTAGAAGATCTGAAGAAGAGAGAAATTGAATTCCAAAAATGTGCTCAAAATTGGAACTTTCTGTGCAAGTGTAGAAAAAGAGACCAATAAAGAAGCTCATAAAGTTTTGACATGCGTTGCTGAAGGGACAGAGGTGAATCAGATTTCAAAAAAAAAAAAAAAAAAAAAAAAAAAAAAAAAAAAGACAGTGAGTCTGAATCATGGCAGACATGCATAACAGACAGGCTCAAAGTATTTTTCTGTAAGGCATGTATTTTTTATATATTTCTTCCTCTCTGTTTTCTTTTTCTTTTCTTTTCTTTTCTTTTCTTCTCTTGCAGAAGGAACGCAAAGGGCATCTGCAGAAACACACTCTGGATATATAGTCATTTCATCTTTTTTTTTTTTGCTTTTGTTTTGTTTTTTCTTTTACGGGGCAAAAGAAGAGAAAGAGGAGGCAAATAACGGGACACTAAAATGTCAAAATAAAATAGTCAACATATCGCATCTAGCTAACGAAATATTATTGGGACAGAAACTTGAATCTCGGATTATCAGCCCCGGCTGCCCCGCCAAGTGGTTGGTTGAAACGTAAAGGAGAAATACGACCCCACAAATCGGCTGCAATAATGGGGGGAAAGGCTCACCGGTTTTTGCTGCCCGCGTCAACGCAAATCAAGCCTCGAAATGACTTGAAGTTGGTTGTCGCTGTCTCGGCTTCTAATGATATAGCTGTTGACGGTCCCTAGAAAAGGAAAAGACAATCTTTACTGAGAGAAGGGGGGGGAACTTGAAAAACAGACGATGGTCTGGAACCTGGGCAATTGGCAGGCTGGCAAAAAGTGGTCCTCGTTCATGCTTTGGTTTCGTTTATCTCTCCCCACATCCTCTTTCTCTCCCATTATTGGGGTTGGGTGGGTAAACCAAGACAAAGTGTGGCCATGCTGCTGTTGATGCCTGGCTCCTTTCTTGGGTCTCCAGAGAAGAGGACCTTTTCCGTTCAGCTGCAATACGTAACGAACCTGCTAGCGAAGGAACGGGAACCGAGGAACGAGGAGCCAGTCAAAGGAGTCCGGAATGAGGGAAAAACAATTCGGAAACACAAATACTCTGATGCGTAGTAATTTTTTACGGCTGGATTCCAAATGGACAGCCGTTGCATGATACAGTATGCAAGCCCGAGCTGGTGCGATGATTCGATTATTTCCAGTGAAAGCTCATGTTGGAGCAAATAAAGGTCTTCACACGTGATTGGCGGAACAACGAGCTCCTCCGGTTTGTTAGCCGGACTTAAGCTGCATGAGATATCAACCAAACATCAAACGGCTGGACCGCTCTGTATGGAGGCGGAAGAACTGATGGAGAAGGACAACAACATATAAGGATTGCCTCTGTTCGGAATACTTGTTAGTCTTTGTAGTGCTGCATCAATGTCGTTCAATTGATTCTGAATTCTCTTGCAACCTGAGCATATAACCCTAACCCTAACCCTAACCCTAATCCTAACTACCCCTAACCCCGGTGTTGAGGTCAAAAGAGATGTATAAAACAAACCATTCAGCTGTAACCCCAGTAATGCTTCTTCTCGTATGTAGTTAGCTGCTTCCTCAATGAGTATGTTTATTAGCATATGCATTCTCTATGTGTATACTTGATGGAATCAACCACTCTGAAACGCCTTAGCAGAGACACCGTCAGGAAGGGGCCTTGAAATGATGATGTCCAAAAAAAAAAAAAAAAAAAAAAAAAAAAAAAAAGATAAAATAAAATGAAAATAAAATGAAAATGAAAATGAAAAGCAAGAAAGAAATATGGGTATATTCGATTGATCCACTCCATATAATCCAGCTATGGTGGCGACTCCACGCGAGCAGACTGGGTTGAAGACGCACCGGCTTCGTCTCCAAATCCGCCTGGCAGTCCCCAACGTGATCGTGGCAGAGGATCAGATTCAGCACCCATAGCTGATCTCCCACTGCTGCCATCATCATCATTCTGATCATCGCTTCCATTCTGTGCCTTGCCTTTCCCTTCCCATCGGTCGCGCTCAGCGGGTTTGTGCGAGTTACCGCGGGCCTTGTTGATGTGTACCCGACTGCCCCAGACAGCGCTGACGCCGGTTAGGGCTTCGATGGCGCGGTCAGCCTCCTCCGACGAGGCCAGGTCGACAAAGAGGTAGTAATGGTTTCCAGGTTGTGAACGCTTCGACGGGTGCGGGGAGATAACTTTGCTGATGGCTTCACTGTGGTTTTGAGGAGAGAGAGATGTGGGAATTAGAAATATGTGTTTGGTTGCATGTAGACTTTTAGAGAGCAAGCAAATGTGGTCGGTCGATGTAGTTATATATAAATTTTACTCACATGTTGAAACCGTAAAACAATTTCCGGATTTCATAGTCTGCTGTAGGTTGGTTTGGCATCCTGGGAAGGCCTCCAACGAATAGACGACGGCCCTGGGAGCTATAATCATACCAGTGACTCGAAGCATCTGATCTCTCCCATCGCTCAAAGACAAATCTTGGTGGCTGTTTTTCCGGAGTCGTGGCCATGTCTCTTCGTCCAAAGGGCTCCTTGGACGATTTAGGGATTCCAGGTTTGATTTTCACTGGACGACCCAACATGTCTTTCCCATTTAATTCCATTATCGCCAGATCTGCCTGTTGCTTTGTCTCCAGCTCGACGAAGCAGTACGATGGATTCCGCCCGGTGAATGGATCAATGGATATATCGATGCGCTCTCTACCGCTAGGATTAATCCTAATTCAACAGCTCCCCAAGTTGGGAAGAAAAGAGCTTTGCGGATGGGCTTTGAAGCAGGTAGCTTACACGTTATAGACCGTCTCGCCTTCAGTGAAAAGGGATTCCACATCTTTCTTCTTCGCCATGTATGGCATATTTCCTACATAAAGTCTCCTTCCTTCGGAAAACGATTTCATGGTAGGCGAGTGGAGTTCATTTGTGTGGGGTGACGATTTGCCCGATGTTGTGGACAGCTTTGATTTGCCCTCATTATTCCAACTCCGATTTGCGGTGTGGTTCCCTCTTTGCATCGGACCGCGATCGAAATTCAGTTGCTGTTTCTCGGGTCCGCCCGCAGTGCTTTCTAATCCAGGGGATTCAGCTTGCTTCACCCGCCAATTGGGTGAGTTCGCCCAACGACGACTGGGGGTTGATTTCTGCTTGAGCTCGGAGTCTTGAAGCTCATTATTTTGTGCCATTGTTTCCTTGTTTGAGACACAATTTTCTGTTGACCTGCAAACGGAGGGAGAGGAATTAGTAGGCACTCACTGGCCAAAGAATAATATAGAATGCGAGCCATTGTAAAACGTCCCAGGAAGTGGAAGGGTTGGGGATTCAATTTGGGGTGGTGTTATTTCGGAAAAGGTTTGGAAGGTTTGACGAACAGGTTTGAAAACAGCGGTTAAAGCCTTTTTAAACCACTTTCCCAAGGACCAACTTCCTAGGCTTGGATGAGAAGTTGGCTGCAATAATTTCGTCTAATATGACGATTGTATGGTGAATGGGCCTGAGGATTGTGATCTTTTTATCCCTGACCGAGAGATCAATGGATCCACACAATCTCTAAGTTGGGAGCAAACAAATTTTCCAACCGATTAACTAGTTAATATTTTTTTGCGGCAAAATGATAAATAGCGAAAACCCACAAATGTGTTAGGGCTGAATCCTAACCCAATTGCATTTATTTAAGGTACCCAGGGGCAAGAAACTCCAAGTTAATTAAATTTTTATCCGTCGCGGCGGCGGAGACACCACAGAATTGACAAGCAGCAAATAGGTCCAATTTCGAGGCCGAAACCTGGTAGTCCTGAGATTAATAAACGGTCTCCCAATCCGGCCTGGACTATATGCATGAATTAAGGCATGTTCAAAAGCGAATTCCCAGCGACCAGAAGTGAAAACGCAAAACTGGCCAGTCCTTGCAGTCTGGAATTGAAGGGGCCAGGGGAAATCTTGATAGAGCAGTGCGACTGGTTATAAAAAAAAATTGGCAAATTCAGTTCAGGTACACAAGATGAAAAGGAAGAGATGCTTTTGACAGGTTCGCACGCTGGCTGTCAAATTTTAGGAGTGCCCCTCCTATAGCATGCGGGCAATGCCATTTTTACTTTCCCGACTCCCTGGCGCGTCGATCCCTGGTTTGGATAAGGGAGGAGAACTCGTTCGTAACAAAGCCAGAACTTGGAACCTTTTCAACTGCTATTACCATGTGTAACTAGATCAAGCCCTGATCATTTGACAGTAACGGGAAGTCTAAGGAAGAACTCGGGTGATCTGCCCTCCCCTGGCCCTTGATTGGTGCGGAAATCCATTGCGAAAGAGGTGGCTGAACAAGATACGAAGAACTGGTTGTCTCACCCTTTCCCGTGATAATTGACGTGAATACGTGAACAATCGCAACGACGAAGAACCAAAAAATGGGATTGATCATAGAGGAATACATGGAGGTGATGTATGGGCTGATATCCAGGGGTTTCAGGACATTATCTGTTGATTGAATCTGCTGAATTTGTACCATCGGATTGTTGATTTTGTTCGAGGCAGATCTAATGCCGGCAGGAAGACGAGAAACGCCAGAGAAGCTTCCAACTATTATTTTTACTTGGCTATATATATATATATATATATATATATATGCATTCAGAGGCAATGAGAGCCTGACTGGGTACCAATACTCCAGTTAGATACATGATACAAGCATGTCGTCTTTGACGAGGATATGATGACCACTCATCTACAACTGATCTTATAACTACCTAGGAGAAGTCCTCAAAAAGCCAGTCACAGTAACTAGCCACAGCAGGTGAAATTATCTAAGCGCTTCCAACCAATAGACACCACGCTTGAATGTGCCCTTATCAAAGCATCACGTCCTTCTCTGCTCAACCAGCCACCCCCTCCTCCCAT